ATTGGCTTTGGATTCCATCAGAACTCCGAAGTTAAGCAAGTTCGGGCAAGTTTCCTAGGATGGGTGACCCACTGGGAAGTTCTCATGTGAGTTTCCAAAAACAAAACAGTGAGGGCGTGGCTGAGGCCCAAAATAGACAATATTGTGCTACAGCAGAGTCGAGACTAGGATGTGATAAGTACTCTAGTACCCAACTCTCACCAACATGAGTCTTTTGGGGTATAATATGTAGAAGATATTTTATATTGGTGTGCAAGTATTTGAGGCTTGGGGTGTGAATGAACACTAAGATTAAGCTTTGAATAGTTAAAAAAAAATGAGGTACTGAAATAATACCATTAAAAAGTTATTAGCACTGCAAAAAAATTATTATGTGCGCTTTTAACCTCATCTATGGCTAGTCTAACATCTAATTTAACAAAATCTATTGTTCGACCAAAAAAAAATAATAATTTAAAAAGAAAAAAAGAAGTGAAAAAAACAACTTAAGTTTCCTATACTCATACGCAATCATATGTAAGGAGTTGAATTAGACAGCATCTTAACATTTTTAAGAGTAGTATTATATATATATACAGACCCCTTCCCAAGAGGGATCCCCATTTTTTTCAAAAAAATGGGGAGCCTTCTCCTGACCATTGGATGAAATGGGTGGTTGAGATTAAAGAGTTAAGAGAATCTTTCTTTTTCCTCTCTCTTTTCTGGTTCCCGCCTCTTCCTTGCGACATGGAAGCAATACCAGACACCCACGAACAGAGCTTCACACCGAACAAATCACAGGCCATCGCGAATAAATTTTGAGATTTTAGAGATTTCAGGTATGGGTCTCCTCCTTATTCACTATTTTAGATGATTAATTTGGAATTTGGATTGAACAACTGGGGTTTAAAATTTTCAACTTCTAAACACAATTGAACTTTGCTTCTCGCTCGCCGTAATCTGCGACGTTGATTCTCTTACCCCATTTAGGCTTTTGCTTCCTCAGCTCCCAACAAACCAACTGAATCTATTGAATATTTGACCCAAAGATCCCTGCTTTTTTATCCTATTTATCCAGACCAACCAAAAAAGTCTCCAATTTCCAGTTTCGGTTTTCCGGCCGACGTAGAGGGAAAAGAGCCTCTATTACATTTTGATTCGGGATGTCCAAATTTCTATTTGTAGACAAACAGGGAAACAAATCCAAAGTGTGATTCACTTAGCTTATAAGGTTGAAAGACAAGCAGCAGGTATGCAAAACTGTTTTTGACTCTAGAGTTTGATAACATTAAGCATGTAAAAGAGGAGGCAAATGAGACATTTTGCTTTTGTTGCTTGAACATTGTTTTTTCATTCTATCAGGTTTGAAAGATATCATTAGAGAGCTTCCCAGAAGAGAAGCAGCTGTGTTTCGGTCACAGGTGAGTTAGTCGATCATACTATTGCACTTACTTATTTCAAGTTTTGTTGATGCTGTTTATTATTCTTTTTGGTGTGGATGTTTGATTGTGCTAATGTTCATGTTCAAGTTATGGAAGCTAATGACATGGCTATTGAAGTTACGGGAACTGATGAAGTGCCTATTGAAGTTATGGAAGCTATAGAAGCTAATGGGATGACTATTGAAGTTACAGGAACTGATGAAATGCCTGTTCAAGTTATGAAGCTAATGAAATGCAAGTTTCAATGGACAATCAGTCAGAAATTGTATCTGGTATTTGTTTTTTCTATCCTCAAGTAACAGATGAGTTTAAGCTTACCATAGGTCAACGTTTCGAAACATTAGACGAAGTGCTTGAATTTTACAACAACTATACAAAGGAAGTTGGATTTAGTGTCCGAATGCATTCAAGTAAGAAAAATAAGGATGGTGAGATCACGAGAAAGGAGTTTGTGTGCAACAAAGAGGGAAGTAATACAAAAGAATGGATTGGTGATGAACAAAAGCGTCGTGGATTAACCAAAGAGGGTTGTAAAGCAAGATTGATAGTTGTGAGATCTAAACTTGGTGGGTATGCAATCACCATATTTGAGGAGGGTCATAATCATCCAATGATCTCCCCACAAAGACACCACTTTCTAAAGTCTCATCGCAAGGTTACTAAGTGTCATAAAATATTAGTTGATCAGCTAGATATGGCAAACATACCTCCACACAAACAATTTGACATTCTTGGATTGCAGGTAGGTGGAATTGAAAATGTTGGTTGTACACAAGAAGATTTATATAACTATCGAAGAAATGTGCGAAACAAGATGAAAGGGCATGATGGAAAAATGTTGCATGATCATTTTTTGCTAGAGCAAGAAAGAAATTCTAAATTCACATTCAAGATTCAAGCAGATGAAGAACATAAGATTACTCAATGTTTTTGGGCCGATGCAAGTTCTAGGCAAGCATACAAGTTTTATGGTGATGTGGTCATTTTTGACACTACATACAACACCAACCGGTATAGTATGATATTTGCCCCGTTCATGGGTGTAAACAATCATGGTCAAACAATCGTTTTTGCTGGTGCCTTTCTAAGTGACGAGATGATAGATTCATTTGTTTGGTTATTTAGAGAATTTTTGAATGCCATGCCAGGTGATGCTCCAAAAATAATTATTACTGATCAAGATCCGGCAATGACAAAAGCCATTCCTTACTGTTTTCCAAACACGTTTCATAGATTCTATACGTGGCATATTTTGGATAAGTTCTCGAGCAAGCTTCCTGCGATGAAATACAGAGATCATTATTTAGATTTCAAAGCATATATTTGGGAGTCAGAGACTAGAGAGGAGTTTGATGTGAAATGGATGGTTGTTGTTTCAAAAAGTGGATTATCTGGTAATGGCTGGTTGCAATCGATATATAGGATTCGATCTACTTGGGTTCCAACCTATGCGAATCATATTTTTTATGCAAATTGCTCAACTAGTCAGAGAGCTGAGAGTGGACATTCATTTCTAAAGAAATATGTTTCCAAGAAACTCCCTCCTCGAGTTTATGGTTAAATATAATAGGGCATTGGTACAACAACGCCATTTGGAGTTGAAGGCAGATCATATTAATTTGAACGAGATGCCAAAACTCAAATGCCCTATTAAGATGGATGCGCAAATGGCCAATATTTATACACGTACCTCTTACCTTCATTTTCAAGAGTAATTGTGGGAAAGTTACAGCTATAATATTGAGCTTACAAGCGAAAATGATACTTGTAGCATGTTTAAAGTTTTGCCCATTGATGACGAAAAGGGTAAAGTTCGTGAAATTTTGTATGAAAAATCCAGGGATTTTGCATCATGTAACTGCAAACAATTTGATAGTTCGGGAATCCCATGCAGCCATCTTTTGGCAAATTTGCATAAAATACGTTAATTTCAGATATTGCCGGATGAATACATTTTGAAGAGATGGACTAAATTTGCAAAATCTTCGGTTACGGTTTCTAATGTGGAGATATCTATCGACAAATCCGTACTTGAAAGGCATGGTAAATTATTCCAACAATATTCGCATTTGATTGATAAAGTCATTCTAAATGATGAGGCAAGTAAACTCTTTTGTGAGGCAATGGATGTTGTGAATGAGAAGATTAAGCCATTGGTTGGTGGTAGTAATGAAAATGTGGAACCTTTTGCAACCAAAGGAGGTATGGAATGTCGTGCAAAAAGAAAATCAATAGTAGATGATGTTGGTTTTCTTGAACCTGATCCTGTTAAGACCAAAGGATCTGGAAAAAGACTTAAAAAGGAAAATGTAAGAAGAGGGTTAATGGTAACCTTTGTCATGGGTGTGGGCAATATGGAGTTAATCATGACAAAAGAAATTGTCCGGAGCTCCACAATCGGTAAGAATACATACTCCGTGTGTTTTTCTATGTATATCGTGCAATTAATATATCAATAGTTGAAATGCGTTTGTTGTCATTGATGTATAATAGCATTATTATTGTTAATCAACATTTTATGATTTCTATTTTGGTTAATTGCAGGATGAGCAGCATTCATTGTCCATAGGAAGCTGATCTCATTTTTTTTGTTCCTAATTTGCATGGTGTTAATGAGGTTCCTCTGTTTTGCATAAGTTTATTCTATGAATTTGGAGGAATTGGCCATGAACTTGCAGGATGAGGAGCACTCATTGTCCATAGGAAGCTGATCTCATTTTTTTGTTCCTAATTTGCTTTGTCTTAATGAGGTTCCTCTGTTTTGCATAAGTTTATTCTATGAATTTGGAGGAATTGGCCATGAACTTGAAGGAATTCATGTATTTTGTATGACTTTATTTAGAAATTTATAGTTCAATGATAAAGAACAATAGCATACCAACTTTGGAGGCAAAATGGAAGACATCAAATGCCTTGTTTTATTTCATGAATATCAATCCAATTTTTGTACAATGCTTCTCATACACAGTGAAAAACAATAACAATTTACAAAATGCCGATAAATAACTTTGGAGTCAACATGGAAGACATCCCCAACTTCTTTTTCATATTGCTGTTTGCTGCTAATTGCTAAAGCTTGAGTTTTGTAACTTCCTTTTCGTACTCTACTTGTTGGTTGTTGCTCATCAACCCAACAACTCGAATAGGAAATTCATGATATGAGTGAGGCTTCCTTTTGTAACTTGACCAAGGCTTCTGTGATCTTGAAATTTAGCTTCCTCTTTGAAATGAATAAATGCCTTCAATAGATCTTCACTCTCCCATGCAGTGCCGTAGATCCTACGCAGCATCGGTTTCTTTTCATCTCCTCTACAGCATTGGTTCCTTTAAACTTCCATCTTAAGACTCGACATAAACACTATACATTTCACTTGTATAGCTAATAAAAATATCATTTACGCATAGTTCCTGCACATTAAATCATCACCTTCCATACTATATTGAGCCTGAAAATAGTAATACCCTTACCACTATACCAACGTGCTTTCTAGTGTTTTAAATGTATCTGTCTGTGTGCAGGTTGAACCAAATTAACCAAATATGCACAAGAAAAAGAATTAGCTGCCCTGCACAAAATACCTTGCAACTACAATAAATATCTGAGGCAATCACACACCAAGTTAAGGAAAAAGAGGAAGTTTCAGTTGCTACAGTATAAGAACTTTTCACATTAGACTACTAATTCAAAGGATACAATTGAGAAAAAAATGAACCCCACATGTGACCAGCTATGTTGTTTCATGGCAATATCAAAGCCCATGTATATAAACCGGAAAATTAAGGTTTTCATTTCAAAACAAGTGTGGTGTGTCATGTGTAAATAACAGCTTAAATACTTGATATGTGATAAAGGCAATGAAAAGCTCACTTACACAAACGTCTCCGCTAGTGATGATATCAAATGGAAAAAGGAAGAAACAAATCTTTGAGAGTTTTCTGATAAATTTGAATACGTATAATGCTTCATGACCTAAAACAGAACACCAGTTTGTCCATGGCACAGGTTTACCGTAGAATATGTTAAAAAGAAAAAATGTAAAGTTCTTCCACTTACCATTCATGTGAACAATATTGACACAATACCAGACAGACGAAGACCTTCTGCAAGCATGTAACTAAATAGATGATAGTTCCACGTCAATTTGCATATAAGGAGAAGGCTGTAAAACTAATTTACATAAGATGAAAAAGGGCCAAGAAGATCACTCACGAGAAATATGGAAAGAGGACAAACATACATTACTCCAAGTCTTAAAGATTGAAAAGATAACAAGACAACCTCGTTATTTCCACCGTAGTACTAACTAAACAAAGGATAACAAAGAATGGAAGAAAAGAATCACTCACTTGTCAATATCCAACCTTGCATACTTAAAAAGGTTTTCACAATTAAGGTTTCACAATTAAGATCACTCACTTGTCAACAACCATGGCCATCACGTGTGCACACTGCAGTCAAACACATATAAATAGTTCATCACCATTATCAACTACTCTGCACAGGATTTTCAAAAATGGATAACTAACCTGCAATGCAAATGGCATCATTGGCAATATATAGCATATACAGAGTCGTTTTTTAAGTAAAAGCAAATGGCAAACAATTTAATTAGTAATGAAAATGGCAGCCTTAATAGCAAGTCCTTACCAATTGGGGGCTTTCCCTTCAAAATCAAAACCCAAAAGGTTATAAGTTTCCGAGTTCATACTCTATTAATTCAATCCATTCAAATCTGTAACTAATTTGAATTAGAACTCAAAAGGTTTTTACCCTAAAACCCAAAAGAAAACCACCAAATTTATGGACCCATTTGAAACCAGAATCATCCCGAATCAAAACACAATAGGTTTTTGTGTTTAGAATTTGAAATATATAAACCCCAATTGTTCAACCCAAATTCCAAATTAATAACCTAAAATAGTGAATAAGGATGAGATCTATACCTGAAATCTCAAAGGTTAGAGGTGATGGCCTGAAATCTCAAAGCAACAGAAGTAAAATGTCGAACTATGCCTCCCCTTTTACCAACTTAATGTTATCATACTCTAGAGTCAAAAACGGCTTTGCATACCTGTTGCTTGTCTTTCCCAAATCAGAAAAAACCCAAATTCCAAATTAATCATCTAAAATAGTGAATGAGGAGGAGACCCATACCTGAAATCTCTGAAATCTCAAAGGTTATTTGCGATGGCCTGTGACTTGGCCGGTGCGAAACTCTGTTCGTGGGTGTCTGGTATTGCGTCTGTGTCGCAAGGAAGATGCGGGAACCAAAAAAGAGAGAGGAAAAACAAAGATTCTCTTAGCTATTTAATCTCAACCACCCATTTCATCCAATGGTCAGGAGAAGGCTCCCCATTTTTTTGAAAAAATGGGGATCCCTCTTGGAAAGGGGTCTGATATATATATATAAGAATAAGAAGAACTCAGGGTTCTGACTCGCAACTGCTGTGGTAGTAATTCCTTTGGTCATATTTGAACACTTTGAAACTCATTTATTTACACAAATAAAAACATAGAATTAACATAGAATTCAAAGTGTTCAAATATTGGGTGCTTTAGATTTAGCCCCTTGCAACTGTTGAACTCTAAACATAAACCCACCTATATTAAAACATCTAAATAAAACCCTAATTTTGAATTTGATGTCATGTAAGATAAAAGATGTCCATGCATTTAAATTTATTTACAACACCATGCCACCAACATTAATATGGCTATTACGGTTTTTTTGTAGACTTTTAATTTATTGTCTTTTGTTTGTCAACAACATTCAATTAGTTTAAGTTTTTTTTGCTTTTAATTTAAAAAAAAAAAAAAAAGAAAGTTCTTTTCTTCTTTTATGTGAAATCGCCTAATCCAAATCTAATTAGTTCAATACACATTCTATTGAAAAAGTAGATACATTAACTTGTGAAAATTATAATAAAAAAAAAGGTAAAAATAAACTTGTAGATACATTGTTTCTTGTAAAAACTAAACAATAGTTACATTATTTTCATATAAAAAAAAAAAAAGCTGAATAGTAGGTACTTTATTTTTGGAAAAAAAAAAAAAAACTAGTAAATCTTTTAAAAATTAAACAATGAATTTATAAGGTAAATTGGTTTTTATGTATTTTGCATATATGGGTTTGTTATTATGTAGGTAAATTATTTTTCATGTACTTTACATATACTGGGTATATTATTTTTCTTTTTTTAAGCAATCTAACATTTTAAAATTTTAATAGTAGGTGCACTATTTGAATCAAATGTTTTTTTTTTTTGTAGGTAAATTATTTTGCATGAATTTTACATATATCAGGCATATATATATATATGTGTGTGTGTGTGAAATAATTTACCTACACTAATATGTAAAATATAATTTTATTGAATTAATTAAGCATGTATAATAACATATATTAGACATGTTGTATGTTATTATTATTAGGCAATGAATTTATAACATTATTGTTTTTTTTTTTTTTTTTTTGTAAAATCATTAATTCTCCCTTACCATCCATCTGCATGGCATTAATTATGTACATCAAACATTCAAATAGGGTTTATAAAAAAAAAAAAATTCAAATAGGGATATTTTAGGCATTCAAATTTTTTTTAATGTGTGAAGTCAAACATAATTAATGAATTTGCTGATGTGGAATCTAGTTAATGGGTTTTATTCAAGAAAAAAACTTATGTCGGGTTTTATGTAGAGAAGATTAAGTTTTAGGGGCTAAAGTCATATTCTCATTCAAATATATTGTAAGAATTAACATAGAATTCAAGATCAGCTAACATGACTCACAGCCATCAAAAACACAAACCACAATTCATGATTATTATACAGAGAAGAATTCTGCAAATGCACCAGAAAAAGAAGCCATGGTCGATCTCTGCAGCAAAACGAGTAGTAAACCTTCTCCTCTCTCCAGAAACAATAGGTCTTAGTTCAAGATAGAGTGTAAATCTGTGACAGCAGAGGCCACTATATATAACATAATCTAGCAAAAACCAATTATTATTTCCCTATTAATAATCTCCATATAGGAAACTGAAACCAGTTCCTTGTTCTATTTGAATTCTAGAACAACATGGATTGGTAATTCATTATCTTTTAATACTTTCTATACAAACTTAAAACTAATAACCGGTTCTCGATCCAGACTCATACTTATGCTTATATTCTTACAAATATAAGATGTTGCCATACCATATGCCACAATTTTGTTGAGATATAAGAAAATGTTTAGTAATCTAGTCACGCACCAAAAACTTTTTCCAAATTTTGTAGCTATCAAGAAATGTATAAATCACATGAAATTATTTCTTGTATATAAGTGAGATTCAAACCAAGATATTGCCATCTAATATGCTACATCATTAATTTGGTAAAAGTTTTGACAAGGTTTTGGTTCAGACTAACAATAATATTGTTAGTATTATGGCATCGACAATGAGTGATGCTACACAAAGAATCTCAAAATTTTGGATTGTTCATCTTAGGACTCACTTTAAGCATTATTTATTTCTAACAAGTAACAAGTTGTTTTCTGGGTCTTGGCCAAGTGGCAAAACCTCATTGCGGGAAACATTAACAAGTTGCTTTTGAAACCAAAACTTTGCCGCGTATTCTTCCTATTATCTATTCACAAGAGATTTCTCTCTCTGTCTCTCTCTCTCTCTCTTCCTCTTTCAACTTTCAAATTCTCATAAGCTTCAAGGCTATTCGAGAAGAAAATTTTAAGGTTACATAAATTATGTTAATTGCTTTGCTTTATATTTTTTTTTATTGTAAATTGTTATAATAAGCTCATTTTTTTAATGTTTATAGCTTCAATAACTTCAACATTTTCGAAGATATATATATATATATAGAGAGAGAGAGAGAGAGAGAGAGAGAGAGCAAGAGAGAAGAGATGGAAATAAGTACACACACATAAAATAAGATTCCACTACTTGAATCTTACATATAGAATTACAACGTACATGCATGCCTTTGGTACATACATACATACATACATACTTAAGCTTAGAGTAGCAAGAAACAAATGAAAGAAACTGAAACTAGTACAAAGTACATACATAGAAGAATCACTGATTGTGATTTCTCAAACGACTGAACACAAAACCATACCATGACCACAGCGTCATTGAACATTAAAATGGCTCCTAGCTAGCGATGTAACGATGAAGATGAAGCGATCGAGTGACCAATCTTTATTTATTAACTAGTGGATAAACTGTGAGTTATACTGCTCCAGTGAAGCTTGAGATTTCTCATCCTGCAAAGCATAACAAAAGAGTCTGATCAACTTGGCAGGATGTGGTCTTGGAAGTCAATAGGTATTGTAATATGTAGTCTTATTATAGCATGGAATAAGATGGAAAAGAAAAGTTGGTGGTGTTAAAAAAAAATAGATGTGTATTTTAAGCAAAAGTAGTAATATTTATAATAGTAATTTTTGTTTTGGAGGACTTTGCCTAAATATAGTGTATGCGTTTATAGTACCCACCAGTAGTCCTGTAATCTGGGAAGGCAACATGGCCTGACTCAATATGCTTGACATCTTGTACAAGAAGCTCATAGTGCCTCTTGACTTCCTCCGGTGTTTTGCCGCCAACCGCCTTGGCGACATTGTACCAGCGGTCGGCAGTGTCCTTGTCGTACACAGCCAAAGCCTTTTCAAAGGCTTTGTTTTGCTTGGCAGTCCAGGAGGAGTCGGAGCCTCTTGAGGACATTGAGCTTGATGCCATTGAATAATTTCTTAGAGTGAGATGGTTTTCTATAAACACTACACTTAAAAGCTTGGAAGGAAAATTAAAGGGGAGAGAGAGAGAGAGAGAGAGAGAGAGGAGAAAAGACCTAAGTGAAGGGAAGTGTGTGATATGAGCTGAGTGTTGGCAATGCCTGCTCTTTATAAGGAGGGGGGAGTTGGGTGGGGGGGTAATGCCAGTTGGCAAGAGATCTTGGAAAAAAAAATGATGTGGAATTTGAATGATTTGTCACCTTAGCTACCACAAAATTATTTCAATGAAGCAGTAGTACTAGGAAAAAGATGGAGATATCTCCAAGAATTTTTATATTTATTGTTCAAGAATTTTTTATAGATAGAAGAAATCAATAAAGTTGATCGGAGTCCTTTTCTTTCTTTTTATCTATCATAAGTTATTATTCACAATCTAAAAATGTAACATATATACTCCTAAGCGTGTTTAGTTGACACAAAAACTTTTTAAAAAAAAGTGCAAGATATCAACCAAAGAATATAGGTTTTATTCATGTCTAATCCTCTTAAATTTAAGAATCATTTTTCTTCTACTTTTAATATGTCTTGAATTTAGAGGATTATCCATTATAATCTAATATGCTATAGCAAATTGGAATTGGAGTAATGTTAGATAGAATAAATTTGTAGACTAAATTTGCAAACTAAATGATGTGTCACCAATAAGAAATAAACACGTTAAGCAACACTTAAGTAATAATCTAATCATCAACTTCCATGTCATTTAGTTTATAAAATTTGACCTATAAATTTAATCTCTCTAGCATTAACCATTAGGATTGAGGTTAAGCAGCCAATCCCTAATACCAAACGAGACCTAGCTAAGTGTCATTAATTAGATGAAAAGGTCTCGATATTTAAGTGGTAAATAGAGTAAATCACTCTCATCCAACGACAATTAACATAGTGGTGACGATCAAAAACCTGGAAGTTCTTCTCTTGCTTCTTTTGGAAATTAACTTAAACCTAGAAATTAGCAAATTGAAGCTGTTTGGCCTCGATCATGGAAGTTCCCTCCTTGATTAAGAAAATGGTAGTTTTATAATATCCTTTGAAGATAAAGCACACCCACAGGGGGGAAAACAAAGTAGAAATTCTCATAGTGAGAACCTCTTCATCTCAACCTCTTCATCTGTTGAGATTTCCTTCAGATTACATCAGTTCCCTCTCTGTTTTATTCTCTAACTTCGCAGGATCTTAATATGGGGACCCATTCTCAAACCACAGTCAATCAGATTGCCTGTACTAAACTTTCACGTGTACAAGACAAGCCATTTTTCTTTTTCTTTTTTTTCTCAATTTTTTTTTCTTGTTTTTGAAGACTTAAGTAAATTGGGAGGCCTGTGTTCTCCACAGTACAAGTGATTTTGTTAATTAGTGTACTGTGTCCTGAACAACGTTCCAAGCACTCTAGCTGGCCTGAATGGTCCGTACAATGATGCAATTATGTTTTTTCAGAGGATAGGTTAACATAATGTTACCAACTCCTTAGCAGTTTGGGACCCTATCTGATATAGTTTGGTTATTTGGCACAGTAAACTTACTCATACTATTCACTATCTAGTAAAAAAAAAAAAAAAAAAGGGAAAATGTATTAATAAAACTGATTACAAATTTTTAATAAAAAATAAAAATGAAAGAAAAGTATGTTATGTATAAACCACAGTTAAGTTCGCTCTTTATTGTTTGTTTTGTGCATGTTCCTCAAATTTTATTTTTTACCAAAAGTTTTTTATGTGTATATTTGTGCATATTTCCTAAAAAGAATGTCCAAGAATTGGTTGAATTAATTGAACTTTAACTCTTAGCTAATTTGTTCAACAAAAAAAAAAAAAAAAAAAAAAAAAGAGCTCTTAGTTAATTATGTTGCGTACATTGATTTTACACAAAGTTAAGATTGACTTGCTTTTGCTAATTGTCATTTGAATCACAACATCGAGGAACAAAACCAAGTTTTTCATGATTAATTGACAATTGCAAATTTGCAACATATAGTAATGTAGAAAACCATTGGTTGTAGATATCTAGTTTCTAAGATGGTAAATAGTAATTTTATCAGATCCAACATTTATCATGTCACGAGAGTTAAATTAGTGACCTTCACCAACAAAGTGGAGCTTGAATGGTAAATGGCAGGTAGTAAATAATAATTGGCTCAGTTATTTTATGATCATGTTTTTGGCCCTTCCAAGTACCAAACAAGTCTAAAGTTAAATCGAGAAATACAAATTTCGGTACCGCTATATATAACAAGCATATCTACATAATGATCTCCTTTGCTTTTGTCTTCAGCTGTTGCTGCACGATGGTGCATTGGAGTCACAAACCCTAGTTCATCCATCCTGCCACTTGCCCTTCAAATTTTAGCTTATTTTGATCCACAAATCATTGTTCTTAATTTCTATATCTGGTTATTCCGCAAATAATATGAAAAGTTGGTTCCAATTTAACCTCTCTTGGATGAACAAACAGTTTGAATCTGGCTGGCTGTTTGCCTGTTTGTATTTTTTTTTTTTTTTTTGCTTCTATTATTTATGATGTACGGTTGCAGTCATATCCCAACTGATATCATCCTAGTCACGAACTCATGGGCGACCGACTTGCAATAATGTGATATAATCTTTTACTGGCCACAGTTAAAGTGTCCTAGTTCTGGATTTTTTGAAACTTCTCAACTTTCCATTTTGCTGCATCGTTACTACTGATGCAGGAAGCTTGGTTGTTTTATAGTTTTTGAACCACTAATTTGTAGAATTAATTCTCTTTCGGTGTTAGGACTTTAGTACGTAGCTATTAGGGGAATAAATAATGGTATCAATTTGAGTTGGTTGGAGAAAATTTTTGCTATCACCGGTTGTATACAATTATGTTTTTGTCTCTCTAATCATATGACTAGTCTAAACCCTTCTCATGTGATGAGAGAAGCATATTTTAGAGTTTAGAAATGCTTCCATAGCATCTTGCATCATAAATGTTATGCTATTCTATGTTGAGTACCTGTGAAATTTAATTAGTATCATCCACACGCTGGTGGTTTCGAAGAAAACAATGCGTAAGAACACCACAATTAATTTTGTGCTAGCAAGTTGCATCTTTTGTTCAGCACATTAGGTTCCGCGTAGTCATGAACAAAATTTTACTTGCATAACACCACAGGGTTAAGGAGTATCTAATTCAAGAGGGTGACAGAATTTTGTAGGTCAAGAGAATATCTGTTTAGAACAAAAAGTTAAGTATGAGGAATCTGATTTTAGAGGGGCGGCGATGTGATACCATGGCTTTAATCTGCAACTTGGTTAAGGTAGCCCCAACCTATGGGTCTACAGTTTACAAAAATCCTGCAACTAGACCTTGGTTTAGTCAATTCACAATCCAGAACCAGTTTGCGTATCCAAAGACGTGTAAGTTTGGAGTGGCTGCAAAAGGAGATTTCTAGCTGTATTTGGAAATTGAAGTTCTCAATGGCTGAACTTTTTATTATTTTTTATTACTGACTGAACTTCGTTGCTGCTCTATATCTCAAGACACGTTTGCAGGGCCTAATGAACTCTAAAACAATGGGAGCTATCACGGAATTAACGTTACTAATTCGGTGTTATAGTATGGACGAACGAATGAACATGAAGGTTTATATCTATAGTATCTAGGTCCTAGTATTAATGAAAAAGATATCGTATCATGTCAACAATGTATGTTTGGATACATAGTACTGTAGTGGCGTAACGGTTCAAACCCACAAATTTCTTCTACTTTTGGACAACAATGTGTCACAAATATTATATTCCAGTCTTAATGTCTTCTCCAAACATATGGTGTGTCTTACAAATTAACTACATTTGAAATCAGTTTTTCACAAACATAATCTCGAAAACCCTACTGCTCTCCACACATTTGTGTGTCCTCGTGTCATCCCAATGAAAAGTCCTTTAAATATCAAACAGTGACTAGGGTTTTTTGGCTGATTAAACTGCAGAAGGTATGTCAATCGAAACATCGAAAGTAAGTGTGGCATCCATTGTCAAGTTGCATCAGTCATGGTCATGATATACTGGCCACATATTAATGGGGCTATCACTTATCATTAGTTGAAAACTACTTCAGCAACTTTGTAGCTAGGAATCTATACGAAATTTTAATAAAGTGATGCCTTGAGATGATACACCCTCTTAACGATATTTGGAATCCTTATCATCCCAGTCCATCTCCAATAGGAAGAAAAATCTCTTAGATTCCTCCTCTCTTTCAGGATTAATTCTTCGGGCTGTTGTGGTCCTTCCTCACAACTTGGAGAAAGTCGGTTAACCTTGGTCACTGTTGGCCTCTCCATGGCTCTAATTTTGATCTCATCGTTAATTTCCATATTTGGTTTGATGCAGATAGTAGTTTGATAGGAATTTTACTACCTGCAAAAGTAGGGATAAAAATACTAAACAAATACTTGCAAGAGAACAAGGTAGTTGTAGTACAAACGGCTCAAGCAAAGTCGTTTTCCACAAGAATTGATTGAAAATTTTATGTAAATACCAAATCTTAATTAATTATTTGAAAACAAAGTTTGGAAGAGGTTGATTTTATGACCTAAAATATTAAAAACGAATTTTAAATTAAAAAAATTAAAGAAATTAGTAAAGTAAAGAAAACAAAAGAAAATGTGTTGAAAACCAAATTGTAAAAACCTAGGGTTCCACCATCCCCTTAACAATCCTATGTAGATTTACTAATTACTTATGAATTACCCATGCAACTTTGAAGGTTAGGTTTTCCTATTGCATATTCTACTTGTGGTATTCAAGCTAGAACGTATATCAAACATGCAATCCGTCTGTGGTATTCAGATCAAATATAAACATGCATGACTCATTACGCTTTGTGAAAACCCTTTGAAAAACTATGCAACCCCTAAGACATGGCGTATTCATGCTAGGTGAAATTACTAATATCAATCACAAGAAGCAATACTCAATTCCCCTGTGGTATTCCAACCAAATTGCATCCGATGACTTATCTAAACATCCTAATGGTTAGGGGTGCAACTTGGGTTAGACCAACTCAAACCCACCCATGTCCAACCTGACTTTAAACCCGAACAAGCGGGT